CATTCATAACAGTGCACCTTGAACAGTGAAGGCATTAAAACAATGCACTCACGAAACTTCGAAGTCGGGCATATGACTGAAATAACATTTTTTAGTTAAGTGACAAGTTTCATCACATTATATATATATATATATATATATATATATATTTATATATATACACACACATACACACACACACATATATACATATATATATATAGATATAAAAGTGAACATAGATATACAGTTTTGTAGTGGGTATGTGCATGTTCTAATGTAACACTGCATAATAAATAAATATTTACGGCTCTACTTTTGTATTGAGCTCTGTTTTAAATTAATATTTTGAACGCTGAATCTTACCCTTCGTTCTTTTGCATATGTACATATGGAGTATTGCTGCCATATATGGTCTGGAGCCCCTTCTGTTTGCCTCGGGGTTCTTGATAAGATCCAGAGGCGGATATGCATTATAATTGGCCCTGTTCTGGCATCTCGTCTACAGTCACTTTCTCACAGACGCGCCGTCGTCTCTCTCTGTCTTTTTTACAAATACTTTCATGGTAATTGCTCCGGGGAGCTGCATTCGCTGGTTCCCAGACTTCATGAGTTCAAGCGCCCTACGAGGCTGGCATCCCGCTCTCATCCTTTCACTGTCGAAACTCCTAAATGTAGCCGTCTCTTTTACTCCAATAGCTTCATGTCTCGCACCTCTCGCCTGTGGAACTCTCTTCCCTACTCCAGTTTCCCTGAGAGCTATAATCTCCAGTTATTCAAGTGTAATGTCAATCGACATCTCCAGTTGCATTGATCTATCCACTATCCTTCTCCTCATCCTTTCCTCTATCACTCCTATCTTATCTTGCTCCAAATTTTCTGTAACCCCTTGTGTCCTAGTGGCTTCTTGCCTTGCTTGGGGTGAAACGCTTATATATATATATATATATATATATATATATATATATATATATATATATATATATATATATAACGGCGGTTCCCTCTGCCTAGGGGGATGCAGGTTTGAATCCTGCCAGAGAGCACAAATTTTTCTTTAATAAGATTAATCGAACATTCAGTGTACTAGAATAAAATAAATAAACGCTACGTCTATTCAAATATGAGTATCCACTAAAAATAACATTTACAATGATAAACTCTTTGGATTAATAAAATACCTAATAGACAGTTAATAAGGAACTAAATCAGATGTCAAAATATGTTTGGGGAGTTAAATCAGACATTAAAAGGGTCTAAATCAAAAGCTAGCAGATATTTTTCTAATAAGATTTTTTGAATATTCAGGCCGGTAGGCGGAAATAAATAAATATCTTTCTTAATAAATAAACAGAGCGTCTACTAAAATACAAGTATCCACTAAAAATAACGTTTAAGTAATAAAAATCTTTCGGATCAATAAACAAAAAAAATAATTCCTTTCTTTAGAAATTGCTTTATTTACGTTAGGATACGAAACTGAGTAGATATGCCTATTTCGAGAATTGGGGAGAAATCTGTTTTTAAAGGCACTATTCAGACGTTGCTTGGCTATCGTCGCACTACGTAGCTGAGAGGTCAAAGCACGTCAGATTTAATGACGGTTAATGCAAGTTCGAATCCTGACGGAGAGCGCTTATTTTTCTAATAAGTTCTCTCGAATATACAGACCGTTAAACGAAAATAATAATAAATAAATAAACAGAGCGTCTACTCACATACAAGTATCCACTATAAGTAACGTTTAAAATGATCAAATCTTTCGGAATAATAAATAAAAATCCACTACTTTAAAATATATATATATATATATATATATATATATAGTTTTCGATCAATTACCCTGCTGTTAATTTTTTTTTTTGTTTTTAAATGAATTTTTCCCCGTCCTGGTTAAGACGATAAACTACGTCCAACAGCAAGGCCTCTGATCAGGAGGTTTTGAGGAGCTTGGAACCACGACTTAATTTCTGGTGTTCCTAGGTCCACATTGACCTCGGGTGGCAGCACCTGTTACAGTCCCAGCTATGGGCAAATATTTAACTCCCAAACTGGGGTCAAAACACTATGAAAGTTAAAAAAAAAAAAACAGGTTTTAATACCAGCAACACATTTTTGTAAAAATATTACCAGCAAGGAATTTTTTGAAAAAAATATTAGCAGCAATAAAAATCTTGTCGGCATTAGATAACCCATAACCCCACGCCAAAAAAAAAAAAAAAAAAAAACCAAAGTGCTTTTTTTAGTTGAGGGTGGGGGAGCGCTAGTATCTATTTTCCGGAATAAAAAAAAAGTTTTAGAAGCTAATGTTTCGGTGGGAGATGATGAAGGAGGGGGCGGTGTAAATGAAGTTTTAAGATTTATTTTGAAAGTTAAACATTAACTAAGTGATTTTAAACAAATAAGATGGCTCAACTTATTTGGAGGCAATTGGGGGAGGCCAGAAAAAATATAATCTTCTATTTAGTTCTCAGTTTCAGCAAAATGCTGGGGTCGTCCAAATCTCCGACCTACATACGCCTATGGATTCAGATGCCCTGTATATGTGACCTTGGGGA